CAAGGCAATGACCCTTAAATGTATTTTTCTATTTCATTTTTTTACATTTAAAAATATTTTTTTCTCAATTATTTACTGGCTTAGTTTGGTAGTTTCCTAGTTTTAATTTTTAAAAATTTGGTGAAATATACATAAGTTTACCATTTTAACCATATTTAAGAATACAATTCAGTAACATAAGTACATTCAACAATGTTGTGCACTTTTGTAGTTTTGAATAAATTCAAATTTAAACATAGTTTCTACAAGATTAAAAAATTAAGTACAAGTATACATAATGCTTCCATGATTATATTTTTACATATAACATACGTAGCTCCTGTATGCCAAGGTAACCACATGGAAGGGAACTACAGCTCACCCTTCCTGCTTATTATGATTGTGAGAATGATTTTCAAGAACTCTGGAAGCTCAGTGAATCACTGAATTAGCCTACAGGGAATTTCTTCAGCACAAATGTTATCATATAGGGAATTTTTTCTTCCAGTGTCCCCCCCCCCCCCCCCCAAATCATCTTTCTTACAAACTAATTGTATTACATGCAGGAGCACAGGAAGGAAATAGCAGAGCTGGGCAGTTTCTGAACAAGAGTATTTGACATTGCAATAATCATTGGCAAACTAAAGCATTGCCAAAGTGTGAGACATTTAGATTTCAAGCAACTCAGATTTGCTTTAGATGTGCAGTATTTGTATCATTTAAGATTGTCTGAAAATTCATTTACGAGGTCACCTGTTTTCACTTAAAATTTGTTTTAGAGTTAACCAGCTAAAGAGCTTCCATTCAGAAGTAGCACTGGACTGCGGTCGGGTGTCACTCTTTGATCCTGGGCAAGACCTGTCAAATCACTGGCAAGATCGGTTTTCTTATTCGCAAATGAATCAATTAATTAAATAGAAAAGGTTTCACTGTGTATCTCCAACATCTTTAAAATCCTGGTTGAAGTGACCGGAATTTATAACATACTGAGTCCAATTTCGCAGAAAATCACTTTGGTTTTTCTCCTAAAAGCCTTGGCCTGAAAGCCACTGACTGTGGCCTTGAGGGCTTCTAACAGCTCCAACCACCCTCACATATGGTTTCGGATTCCAGGAACCCGCGGGTGGAGGAAACAGAAGAGCAAGGGGCGGGGCCGGGGGCGGACCGGGGCGGGGCCGGGTGAGCCGGGGGCGGGGCCGGGAGGCGGGGCCAAGAGGAGAGACGGACCGGAACTAGAAACGTCATTTCCGTCTGCGCAGTTACCCAGGGCAGAAGCCGAGCCCCGAAGCCGAGCCCAGGCCAGCGGCGATTGGCAGGTG